CTCTGAGCTTCATTTGTAAAAGGAATTAAAATGGCACAGGAGGTCCCCAAGGGGCCAAAGAAAGCCTAGTACAGGGACCAAGGAGAGGGAGAGAGACCTAGGAATTAGCCCAGATTTCAGGGTCTGAGCTGACAGAAGCCTGCTGCTGGAACGGTGTCTCAGATGCACTGTGTTCAGGCTGGCTACGAATACAAGCCATGAGGCATTTACTTACAGTGGAAAGTACCAATGGCATCATACTGTAATTAAGACATTCATTCATTTATTTAGGCACATCTTGTTCTAGAAAGGATTAATTTTGGCTTATAAAAAGATATAAAAAATATAGATGGAATAACAAGTGAGCAAGAACATAGGTAAGGAAGAGGAAAGAATGGGCCAGATGACACTTAGGAGCTAGAAATGGGATAAAATGACCATCCGTCCCTTATAAATTGATGCAAGAGAAGGTGTGTTTGTGTGTGTTATGTGTGTGCCTATATAATGTGTCACTAGACCTCAAGTCACAATATTACAATTAGGGGATATTTAGTTTTGATAAATTCTTGATAAGTTAATCACTAAATATTCCACCACCAAAAAAGTCCCTTAATCTCCTTATTACTGTCTTCTTCATAACTGCTGCATATTACTGTCTCTCCGTTCGCTTTACTGAAACTATTCCGAGTTCACCAATGACCTTTAAGGCAAATCAAAAGTTCTTTTCTTAGACATTGTGTTGGGCCTTCTCTGGCATCCTGAAAATTGTCTCTTCTTTGTCATCTTTAGCAATGCAAAGTCCACTTCTCCTCCTGACTCTGACAGTTTTCTGTGTCTCATTTCCTGACTCCCGTCTACTTGCCCTAACTTAAGGGTGTCCTTAGCACTGGCCTTTTGCCCTTGACACGTTCCACTCTATTTACTCTTTCAGGAAAGCACCACTCAGAGCCTGACCCACAATTCCACTGGCAGGGCATCAAGCAACATCTGCTAACACAGCCATCACTCAAGCCCTGGCTGCATGTTTGTTGTGGAGCTGCACTTACAACGTGGCCACTAACGAGCTAAATAGCTTACAGGGGAAAACCGTACTCTCTGAGTTTCCTTATATCTAAAATTTAGGACCCAAAGCATAAGTTTCTTTTCCCAATTTCACCACCACTGCCTTAGCGGCAGAACGTTGGTACCTCCCTCTTCTTTGATGTGGCCCAGAATGACATTCAGTCTCCTTTTTCTGAATTTCTCAGATTTGTCTCATCCATTGCCAGTAGAATTTGTTAATACTGGATTATTAAAAGTACAGTTATCACATCAAAATTACAACTGAACTACAGAACAACCATTGTTTCAAGCTAGAACTTGAAATCTAGCTGAATGGTGGTGTTACAACTAGGAAATTAAAGAAGAATCCACATCAAGACTGGTAGGAGGGGCAGAGGCATAAAACAGACTGGTTTCACAACCATTTGTGGCAAATAAAAATTGGAAGGGATAGCCCAGCTGTGGAGGTCCCTCCTGAGGAGTGAGAGGTCACAGCCCCACACCAAGCCTCCCAGCCCAAGGCTTCAGTGCCAGGAAGAGAAGTGCCCATAAGTTTTGGTTGTAAAAACCAGCAGGGAGTGTGGCTAAACGGGGAGAAGTTTCTTGGAGTCCCAGGCATTTTCTCTCAAAGGTCCCTGCACAGACTTAGACTCACTCCTTCTGAACTCCAGTGCTGAGGCAGCAGCTGCAAAGGCACCAGGAATATGCAGGGAGGAACTTAATTTTCTGGCATCAGGGCAAGAGATGGAGGGGCAGCTTTCCGCCAGACAAAAGTACTGGCAGAGGCCATTGTTCCTTTTCTTAGATGTCTCCTCCCCACCTACACATGCACAAGGCAGGCAGACAGGCATCATATCTGAGCATCCATCTACCTAGCACTGTTAGCTGCACCCTGGAAATCTCCTGAGACCCTGCCCCACACAACTTGTAGACCTAACCAAGCTGTTTGCAATGGCTTTTCCATACAAACTGCCTGCCTTGGCTCCTGCTGAAGATTTTCCTAAAATCTCTCAAAGGTTCATAAATTGCAAATAAGCAGCTTCTGGCCTTGGCATGCCGTGTACCTCTCACTAAGTGGCCTCAGGTCCAGCACTAGCAGAGCCATCCTCGTTTTGCAGCTTGGACTCACCTGGGCACCTCCAAGCCCAGTACAAGTAGCAGCCGTCTGCAGATCTCTTTTTAGTTCATGCCAGGTAGAACTGGGCGGGACAGAGGTGGTGGCTGACCTTAACCTGTTCCTCCCAGGAGGCCCCAGAGCCAGTACACCTGGTAGACAGCTTTAGGCCATGCTGAAGCACTACCCAATATTTCCATAAGCAACGCATCCATGGGTAGACTCAGTGGGCACCAGAGCCCTGCTGAAGTGAGTTGTGTTTCATGTAGTGGGCCTCTGCACATCTGATCCTCTATGGTGGTGGCAGCCAGTCCTTGTTGATCAGCCTGGGGGTAAATCCTTCCCACTGAAGTGCTGACAGCAGTCCAGGTTCAACTACAACAGCAGGTTGTACACAAAGAACTTGGAGTTGGGGGAAGCCGCTCACCTGAAGCACCCACTTTGGGTAATCAGGGAGGCTGTGTCACTGGACCCTACAGGACACCCATTACACAAGGCTACTCTACCAAGACCAGAAGTAGCAGCTCTACCTAATTCATAGAAACAAACATGGAGAAGCAGCCAAAATGCAGAAACAAAAAAGCAGATCCTAAATGAAAGAACAGGAGAAATCTCCAGAAAAAGAATTAAATTAAATGGAGGCAAGCAAACTACCAGAAACAAAGTTCAAAACAATGGTTATAAGAATTCCTAAGGAACTTAGTGAGAACTTCAAGAGCATGAAAAAGGACGTAGAAACCATAAAAAAGAACCAGTCAGAAATGAAGACTAATTTTGCAGGGAATCAATAATAGAGTATATAAAACTGAGAATCAAATCAGTGATTTGGAATATAGGGAAGCAAAAAACACCCAATCACAATAGCAAAAAAGAAAGAAGAATTTTAAAAAAATGAGGCTAGCTTAAGGAGCCCTAGGACAGCTTCAAGTGTACTAAGAATTGCATCATGGGGTGTCAGAAGGAGAAGTGTGAGAGCATGGAATTGAAAACCTATGTGAAAAAATAACAATGGAAAACTTCCCTAACCTGGTGAAGAAAATAGACATACAAGTATAGGAAGTATAGAGTCCCAAACAAGATAAACACAAAAAGAACACAAGATACATCATACTGAAAATAACAAAAGTTGAAGAAAAGAGAGAATCTTAAAAGCAGCAAGAGAAAACCAGTCCGTGACCTACAAAGGAGCTCTCATAAGACTGTCAGCTGTTTTTCAACAGAAATGTTGTAGGACAGAAGGAAGTAGCATAAAATATTCAAAGTGATGAAAAGCAAGGACCTACAACCAAAATTGCTCTACCCAGCAAAGCTGTCAATTAGATCAAAGGACAGAGAGCGAGCTTCCCAGACCAAAAAAAAAAAGCTAAAGGAGTTCATCACCACCAAACCAGTATTACATAAAATGATAAATGGTCTTCCTCAAGAAAAAGATAAAAAATATGGATAATAAAGTGGCAATAAACACATATCTATCAATAATTAAATCTAAAAATCAAAATAAATACACAAGCAGAACAGAAAGAAACTATAGATACAGAGGACATTTTGATGTTGCCAGATGGGAGGGGCACTGAGGGGATGGGTGAGAAAAGTGAAGGGATTAAGAAGTACAAATGGCAGTCACAAAATAGTCATGGGGATGTAAAGTACAGCAGTAATATTTTAATAACTATGTGTGGTATCATATAGGTATTAGATGTATTGGGATTATCACTTAGTTACATAATGTCTACTCACTGGGTTGTACAGCTGAAACTAATATAATATTGTATGTCAACAGTAGTTGGAAAATAAAAAAAAATATTTTAAAATATAAAAGGAATTGTTTATACTAGAAAAGCATGCTCTGACCCAGGAGTGAATTTAGCTAGAGCTGTAAACAACTTGGGAAAATCAGGTTTCCATTTTTGATAATAATGAACTTCATAAAGCAAATACTATTTACTGGTATTCAGAGTATATTAAATTGTAAATTTTGTAAAAGTCAAATAAGCACTATCCTAAATTACAGCAAAAATAAATATGAGAAATAACAGGGATAATTTATGTCAAAGTTTTGAGAGCCTCAATTAAAAATAACATAAAAGAATAAGCAAGTATGATAGGAGGAGTAACAAAAATGCAAATTTAGCATTAAAAAGAGCAAAACTGCTTCACTCGAAAGTGTCTACAAAGCCCTATTATAAGTTGGAAGAACTCAAATTCCATTGCAACAAATATTACAGCACATTACCTAAAAATGTGCTCATTGTTAGCAAAGACCCATTCACCTCAGTCAAGAATCTCTATAAGGGTTGAACCATTTCCAATATGGTTAAAGCAAACCTGACAGTCCTTTGAGTTTGTCTCACTTGTACATGGCTGGCAGTACGGTATTTAAAAGAGGTTGCAACTGCCATGAAGAGTAAAGGCCAGCTCACTGAGGCAGCTGTTTGGCCTGCACAGTACTGGCCTCACCCTGTTTAAAAGATTGTTTAATATAACCAACAATATTTTAAAACGAGATTGCATAAAGCAAGGCTCAGAACAGGGTTTACCATGTTACCAGTTGTGTTAAATAAAGGAAAAAAAGTATGTACTTGAACTTGATTTTATATATGCTTGGAAATATATTTGAAAGAGGAAATTACAAACTTGCTCTTCCACCCTGAGAAAATATTAAGTAAAGAAAATGAGACATGGCCGAGCTGTGAGACCTTTTTTATGTCTTAGTCTACAGAACCAGACACCAAAGAGGGCTGTTGCTAATCTCCATCCATACCACACTTTCAGAGGTTTTAGTTTAGCAATAACTCCTCCATTTGTGGTGAATCTGGTATCAAAGAAGTGCCAAGTAGTGGCTGGTATCAAGGGTAGAGGGCAGTACCAATGTCAATCTGATAGTCCCTGAGGGTGTTGCAGTCGTACATCTCCAGTCCGCTCGGGGTCCGGAGACAGAAGACACTCACAGGGAAGCCACATCTCAAAGATATCAGCGTTCTCAGCTCAGACACTTTCTTACAAAAAAGGGAAGTGTTGTTCATTATTGGCATCCTCTCTTGGGTAACAGCATTGAACACGTGGAGAGTGGGCTTATCTTCTTGCTGCGGGGAGAGAAAAGGAAGGAACTCAGGAATAATCACCCTCTGGAGGTTGGGACAGAGACAAATATTTTGAAAGGTGGCTCTGAGTGCCTCTAGCTAAGGATGAAAGCAAAAGTCAGTTAAGTCCCCTGAGTTACGGTCTGAGTCTTGCTCTTCTGTCAGAGGATATTAGTGAGTGCTCCTCTGAGCACTTGAGAGCCTTCTTACTTCTTAGTCTATAGGCCCACACACACAGTGTTGATAACATCCGTGCTGTGTTAGTTTCAAAACAACTCCTCCATTGTGCTGCACTTTAATTTGGAAATACTGTGGATTCTAAACCTTCACTCAAAAAAATCCTTCCTGGGAGGTTATCTCTGGGGCATGGGACTGAGTTCAGGTTTTGGGCGGGGGGAGTTGCTTACCATTTTATGCTCTTCATTGTCATTTGACCTTAAACAAACCATGTGCATTTATGTTTGTTATTTCAAACAGGAAGTTCTAAATGGCTGTGAAAAAAGTTTCCTTTGTTGCTTTTATTTTCACTTTGTAATTTTATTAGGAAAGCAAGTAGAACTGAAATATCTGAAATTAGAGTGGAGATGGAAAGTTTGGGGAAAGTATTAATCCTTCTATTAGCAAGAGTTACATCAAGCCAAACCAAAATTAAAAGTGGAGGAACTGGGGAAAATGGAAAAGTGGTAGGGAGGGAAAGATGATTAACATTTCCACTTTTCTAACAACAAAGAAATGAAACTGGCTTTGCTTCCCCTTTAGCAGATTGAGGTCAGTCGCAGTTTTCTGCAATGCCCTGTGATCAGCTTGGCAGATGTGGGTCACAGAGCTGCCACGAGTGCCCTGGGAGCCCCCCTCTCAGGGAGGGGCCTTGAGCAAAATGAAGGAGCCAGCAACCGTCCTCCAGTTTTCTCAAGGCGGTTCTGCTCCATTAGTAACTGCTCTCTTGTCCCTCCTGTTTCCAGCCTCATCCTTTTCTCATCAAAATTCACCTGTGGTTTCTTCAGGGGCCCCTCCTTGCTTAGGTTTATAAAACATTAAATTGATTCTCCATCTTCCCGATAAAACTTTGCCATACTGTAATCAACATTAGATCTCTTGGAAAGAACCTCCGAAGAGAGGTTCTTGGAAAGAAACTTCAAAGTAAGGAGTAATGTGATTGATGAAAGTTCAGGCTGCAGTGCTTTAGTCTAGGGTCCACTCTGCTGACTCACATCACTGGGAGCAGGTTCCAGCTCCCTTCGCCTGAGCATCAGCCACCCACCAAGCTGAGCTGCTCCCTGAGTCTAAGGTACTTGGGAAAATGTTTCTCAATAGCTTCTCATAAATCTATGCTATGCAAACTTGAAGGACATAGGATTCTCCCTTCCACTTTCACCGTGCTCCTGCTTTTCTATGGCTGCATTAAAGCAAGTATGTGTTCCTCCTAATTCATGTGATATTTATGGACAGGAAGAAATTCTCATAAAAACTGGATAATTGTACACTTGAAACCTATATAATTTTATTAACCAATGTCACCACAATAAACTTAATAAAATTCAAAAAATGGAATAAAAAGCTAAAAGAGAAAGATTATGTTTGATATAATTGTTGTTTCTTATTTCTTTAATGATTACTCTGATTTTCCTTCAACCCTTGGTATAGGTACTAATTTATTTATGTTTATAATTAAGTGGGTAATGTACAGAGTGGTAAAGGCCCACATCACTCTTAACAGCTAGTCATCTACTATCTAATGTTAGAGCAATAAGTTTGAAAGGTGCTTCTCAGGGTACAAATAACCACGTATTTATATACATGTAAATATATATATATTTCACATTGGTTATATGGAAGGGTGAGCAGATAGATGCCGATTAATAGCAGTTTGCTAACTCACCTTATCTACATAAGAAAAGTAGTCTATTCATCTATATGATATCCTTTCCCAAATGTTCAGAATGAGGAACACTCATAGTTGTACCCAAGGAAGCCAGATGCTATTAAATAAACAACGTACATACAAATCATTCTTGGACATACGTAAAATTAGATATTTCCCTTTTACAAACAACCAAGACACCAATGTAGGAAGTATGCCAAGTTTCTTACCTCTTATTTTTTTATTTTTATAGAATTTTTATTTATTTGCTTGTTCATTTTTAGACAGAGGGGAATAGAGGGAGAAAGAGGGAGAGAAACATCAGTGTGTGGTTGCCTCTTGCGTGCCCCCTACTGGGGAATCTTTGGACCTGGCCCAAAACTCAGGCATGTGCCCTGACTGGGAATTGAATTGGTGACCCTTTGGTTTGCAGGCTGGCGCTCAATCCACTGAGCCACACCAGCCATGGTAGTTTCTTACTGTTTAATAAAAACAAATATATAGATATATTTTGTGAAAGTCATTTCACTGTTGTCTTCAAAATACAAATGTGATTTGTTTTAGCCAAAATACAAAAGTTGTTTGGGGAGGTGGAACTGAGCTCTTTTTCTTATCATGTGATGGATTCTGGATTTAATGGGTAAAAAAGTGTAGAATATGCCAAAGATCAAAAGTGGCAAATTCCCTGATCTTGACGATCCCTGTTGGCTCTCTGACTATGACGTCTTTTGGCCATGAAAGGAGACCAGCACAGGAAAAGCCTTCCTGTAGCATGAAGCATCTGCTAGCTAAGGAAACCAGGAATATTTCCATTTTTTGACTCTGCAACAGCCTCTTTAAACTCTTTAAGTGGGAATATCCTTGGCTCAGAGAGTGCAACTCGCCCGGCTTTTCACATTACTCTTGTCGATCATGTTGGTGGCTGTTGATCATGTTGGCTGGATGAGAAGGCACCTTGGAACTGGTTTCTCATGTTTATTCCAGTCTGGATAACTGATATATTTCTGGTCATCCTGATTGTGAAAATGGCCGGGCAATGTAAGTCTGGCTTTGACCCTTGGCCTGGATCACACAATATTTAAAAAAAAAAACTGGTACCTCATTGCAATGTTACTGAAATTAACCTTCTGCCTTGCACCCTGTGCTAGACTGAACAGTTCACTACCCCGAATGTGTCTTGTGTCTTCATTTCTTTTTGGACCTTGCTGGCAGGGGCTTTGATAGAGCTTGGCTATAATGTCTTTTTGTGTGTGTGTGGGAGACTGACTTTTAAGGACATCATCTTATTTTCTTGCTGTACAACAAGCTGTCATCATTAAAGTGTCTGACTCTTTGCAAGCTTGAAGAATACCCAGCAACTGAGAAAAATACCAAATGTGGTTTTACACTGCTTCCATAAAGCAGTCTTGGTGAATCATCAACTTCCAGTCAACCCAAAGCTTAATTGTTCAATATTTGAGTTATTAATATCTTTACTGTCCCTATTTAAATAAAGTTTGTTTTGGATCTCAGTAAAACAAAAAAATGCAACTCACTATAAATACACACATGTGCATTGACAATAAAATAGGAAAAGTTAAAGAGAAGCAGATGGAAAGAAAACAGTTGATGTAAATTTTGAACACTGCTGTATTTTTTTTCACAAGTTCTGCTTTTTCATATTTTGCTGTCTTGGAGTTGCAGCACCAAATAAGCGGAAACTTTCCCCAACTATTCCAGAGGAGACCAAAGAGGAAGTACTGTTTGTTTTTGTTGAACTGAATGAATTCAAGTTGAGATGTCTTCATAAACGTCTAAACCTCATAAACGTCTCTCTTGGTATAATAGTTATCCTGGAGAGGGTGTCTAGGACACAGCACTGGACTCTCCAAAGTCTTTACATACCATTTTTTGTGACTTAGAAGAGATAGCCATTTTTAGAACATATTTTCACTTACAAATTATACATCTTTAAAGCATGTTTAGGCTGAATGGAGGTGGAAAATGGGATAGGGGGGATAAATAGTAATGGAAAATACACAATAAAAGTAAAAATAAATAAATAAAAATAAAAAGGAACATATTTATACGTTTTTGCATATAAAAGTATATTTAAAATCTAAATTCACATATAATATGTCTTCTGAATTTTGGTACTGTGCATTTTGAGTGCCTTTTAGAAGCTTAAATGTATATTATTTTGAATCAGTTTTATACCAACTAATATAGCTCAAACTTCTTCAACTTGTCTGATAGACATCTACTCAGTGGTCCCTCAATTAACTTAATCTCTTGCCACTAAAACAGCATTCCAAGGATTCAAGAAAAGATGAAGTTTTAACCTAGCCCTGCCTTCTGTGGGTTGGTGGAAGTGTGGTGATACAAGGCAGGAAACCAGAAGAGTGTTGAGGAGACTGAGCCCCTCTCAGACTTTTTTAGAAGACACACCCTGCCAATAGCAGCTTCTCGACCCACTTTGCAGCAGGGCCGGACCTGTGACTTGGGAGCCTACACATCCGCCCCCACTTCGGATTAGGAGCCAGGAGGGCACAGAAGCCTCAGGGAAGGAATGCACCCTGCGGTGGCAGATCCGATGCATTCCTGGCCTGGCAGCAGGGCTGTCGCAGTGTCCAGTACCTGCTTTAAGGGCTCGGGGTGCTGCAGCGGTAGCCTTTCTGGACTAGTTCTGGGGCATGATTTAGAAACTGCTTCTGGCTGCCTGAACTCGGAGCTAGATTCCCCAATCTTCCTGTCAGACTGTGAACGGCGATTCTGGATGGGGAAAGGGGCAAGGCTCCTGGAGGACCTTGCCTTCAGGTTGGAGGGAGAAGAGGGATGCTGGAGTAAGAGAGGGAATCTAAACCCTGAAATGCATCTTAGCACTTGCTTCTGATAACAATCACATCCCTTCTTGTTAACTTTCATACTTGACCTCTCAAGGTCTTTTCTTTCTTTATTTTTAGAGAGAAGGCAAGGGGGGAAGAGAGGGAGAGAAACATCAATGTGTGATTGCCTCTCACACTCCCCCTACTGGGGACCTGGCCCACAGTCCAGGCATGTGCCCCAACTAAGAATTGAACCAGCAACTTTTGTTTTGCCGGCTGGTGCTTTATCCACTGAGCTACACCAGCCAGGGCTCAAGGTCTTTATCAACTGATTTTTCGACACATATTTATGAAGATCCTAGTATGTGCCAGATACTGTTCCAGCTTCTCAGTGACAACAATGAACAAAATGAAGCAACAGTTTCCACATAACAGTTAGAATGAAGGAGGCAAACGCGACAGCATGTCTGCAGGCTGGCAGTCACCCAGGCCTTGGCAGTGCCTCACCCCAGGGCCTGCAGGAACGCAGTGAACCGCTGCAGCATCCACAGTGAATGGCAGGACTGACTCCTGCGTTAATGGGACTTGGAGATGTTTACCGAAGAAAATGTTTCTTATGATTTCTATGAGTTTTTTCCAAAGAAGGAAAAATTAATGCAGTGTTCTTTTGCCACTGTTCTTATGTCACCCTCAGCCCCCATTCACTTTTCCAAATGTGTCTTCATTGCCATTAAAGGAGAAGGTGTGGTATGCAGGAAAACTGGAAAATGACTGTTTTAAAAATGTATTTGGAGTAGATCTCCTCTTAATTTATCTAATGTCTTTTCCTCTTTCCACACAAGCACAACCTTATAATCCACACAAAAATATAAACACAATAAAAAACCAAATATTTTGGAATTATTTTATATCTACTTGCACCTTTTAAAAAAGAAAATGGCTTACTTGCCAAATTTTTAAATGCAAAAGTGTTTTGGTTTACATCTTTATATTTCTAAGATACTAAAGTAAATTAAGAGACTCTAGCTTTCCTAGATTCTCAGAAGGTATGAAGTAACATAAGAAAGGTACTACTTAAATTTGTATACATGTAATTATGCAATAAAGCAATAACATGCCTTACAATGCAGCCTTTGATTACGTAAGATAGCTCAAACCATGTAGAGTTGGTACGACTGCATTCTTTGATGCATGGGGTATATTATTCATGAAGTATTTTTGTCACTGGAAGCCCATTTTGAACTGTTATCATACAGGCACAGGAAATAGTATGGATTTTTGGAATAGGCTTCTTTTATCGTCTAATCCAAACAGGAACTAAGTTAGGATAGGGACCAATATTTATGATTTCTGCAGGTAATTCTCTTCCTTCAGATTCAAGATAATATTTTCTTTCCCGAACCCAGTAATAAGAAATTCTCTAAATGTGATTCTACTGGAAAAGGTGAAGATGAAGATCAGTAAGATTTCCATGGAACTTGAGAGTTTTACATTAAATCCTCTGTGTTGGCCAGTCCTCTGACAGTTATATCCTGCCTTTCTGGAATAATAACCCTTTACACTCTTTTTTTTTTCACCAGCGTTTTAAACTCCAGGCAAGGTTAGAGTTCAGTGCAAAAGCAGCTTCATCACTGTGATAGATGAAGCTTTTTTAGCAGAATGAAATATTTTTATAAGTAAAACTATGAAGATAGGTTGCCTCTGGGAGGGGAAATTGGGGGCCAGAGGGAAGAGCTAGACTTTTTACTGTATTTCCTTTCTTTTCAATTGAGCACTGTGTGAATGTACTACCTAGTCAAAAGCAAATAAACATTTAAAAATTTAAAATCAAGTCAGTGCTTAGTTAAACAATGGTAATGAACTCACACCATTATCTCTAACTAAGCAAACAATAAAAATGTCTTGAACATCATTATTGGCATTAGAAAATTCTGGCAAAATTTAGAGAGTTTTCCCATACAGTAACAAAACCACAATATATAACCATATTTAAAGACATAAAACAAAGACATTTAAGAAATAATATGAAATTTAGTCTGTTTAAAGAAGTATGTCAGAGAGAAAAGAAGACAGCAGAGTGGTTTTTATTTCCCTTTCTGATAATGAAACATTCTTCAATAATATAAAATCACGAAGTGAATATATGCTTATAAAATATTAAAGACATAAAGATATGGTCACTTTGTTTATATATCCTGTCACTTTGTTAACAGGATTATATAATGTTTATATTTCTGTAAATTGTTCATGCTACCTAAAAACAAATATTTTGATATATATAAATATATAAATATTTCCTTTAAATAAATAAGCCTTCCCACTTAGTCAATTAGTAAAACATATTTTTTTAAAAAGGGCGCTCTGGCTGGGCAGCCCGGCTGGTTAGAGTGTTGTCCCCACATATCAAGGTTACGGATTCACTCTCTGGGCACAGGCAAGAACTAACCAATACATGGACAGATAAATGGAATAACAAATCCCTGTTTCTCTCTCTCTCTATCTCTCTCCCCCACAAAACAATAAAATAAAAAAATTAGACAACACAGTAAGAGTTAGCTTTGGCTGCCATAAACAATCTTTAATGCCTAATATGAGAAAATTAGAGCCTTATATAATGTAGAATATGTATTTTACTAAGTTTCTTGAGGCTCATTTTTCATACAGGATAAAGAACTAGTACTGAATAATGTCTCTGTCCTAGAGTGTGGCTCTAAACTCTGTAGGCCATCTGTATCTTTGAGAAATTGTCAAAAGTTAAAGGTCCTCCACCCAGGAAGACTCCAGGTACGTAATTTTGCATATATTATGATTTTAGGGTCTTGTAAAGTTCTTAAAATGCATCCATAGACCCCAAATTAAGCACCACAAATTAAGGGCCTTATAATAGAAAAGTCTATACCCATTGTATATACACATAATCCATGAATGGCTGCTGTAGCTGGATTTGATTATAGAACCTGCCCCTTCATGCTTATTTTTATTGACAAGTGCTTCCCTTGCTTTACTCCACTGCCCTCAATCCATTTGGACTCGAAAAGTGATCTAATCTTTTCCACCAACACCAGTATTTTAGATCCTCCCCTTGGTCTTGTTCCAGTACTGGTTTTTGGGTTGCTCTGTGGTGACTGTTTGGGCCAGCAACAAGTTAGATGGGGAACGAAAGGGAAAGAGGAGTCACCAAAAGAACTCTGTGGTCTCCATACTTTATTGCCCCTTACAGCCTAAGTTGAAGAAGAAGAAGGCAAGAAGAGAAAACTTCTTCCTAAATTGTAAAATCACTTTCTCTGAATCACCCACAACGTTATTCAAAATGAACTAGACATCTTGGACAAATGTTATTCTGATCATCATACCTTAACAAAGCATTTGAGAGTTGAACAAAAAGATATTCCAATATCGGCAAGGCTCCAGCTGTCCTTCAGGGCTGCTCCAGCATACATCAGCTCCAGATACCGCCTGCCTTGTTCATCTTCAGACAGAGGAATGTGGAAATAATCCTTCAAGATCAATAGTATATTATGAAAACAGTACATCTCTACATTACTAGACCAACAGTGTAATTTCTTTTTATTTACACTTTCCACTAAATATTATATAATATTATTATAAAATATAATAACAATATTAAAATATATTGTATATATTATATAATATTATTAAATATATTATAAAATATTTGGGGACAAAGGGAATAAGTATTAGACAGGGGTTCTTAACTTGGAGTCTATAGACCTCCCCAAAGTTTATGGATAGAATTTAGATGAAAAAAACTATAATTTATTTTTATTAATATTAATATTAATGAAATTGAGATTTTCTTTTAATTATGCATGGAGGCAACACACCAAAGTAGCAGAAGTTGGCTGTACCTGTGACTTTGTGACCAACAGGAATCATTGATATTTTCATATCACCTTATAGTTGCTGCAGATATCTCAAAATATTATACTGATCACTCTTTTGAATTACAATAGTTATTAGATCTACTGCTAGAAGTTGTTGATGCACTAATGATGTGCTAATGATATCGCTATATCACAAATTTGTTTTTTAATGTTTGAAAACTGTATTTCAGTATAACTGATTTCCTTTCTTTGTATGTATTTTATTTTATGCATTTAAAGAGATTCTGAGAAGGAGTCCATAGGCTTCCTAGACTGCCAAAGGGATGCATGACACATAAAGTTTAAGAGCCTCTACGTTAGAAAATGTAGATTTCAGTAATCACAGTAATCTATTAAATATCCTATAAATATTCAATAAAAGCTCCTTAGCAAATAGAAATGATCATCTCCAAGTTAAATACTATTTGATGGTCAGGACCTAAATATTTGTCTTAATTTTCCATTTTAGAGTGAATATTTACAAGATATTTATAAGAAAGTTATTACACCCAAATCATTTCTTATTCTGGTAAAATACAACTTCTCTTTTTTCTAAGCCTCAGTTTCCATGAATGCACAATGAGGATGTAGCCCAGTTCTCCAAAGTTCTCTTCATTTCCAAAATCCTCTCATTCTTCACAGTTGCTTGCTCACTAAACAAGCCATCCATCTGACAACCAGCATGCTCAGCTTTTAGAGCCTGGAGTTAGGGTCTTATTTTTGTCCTTTAATGAAGCATTGCAGTAATAATATACGGCCCATGCACAACCCACAGCTTCCATAAAGAGAAGTTAACTTTTTTTTCCCCTGAGCATGTACTAACTCAGTTTTCTTTCCTAACACCGCCATAGTTACTATCTTCTTATCAAACTATTGTGTAAGCAAACAAAGATATTTGAAGTAGTTTTATTTCCCTATTTGGTGAAAATGTATCACCAAACAGTAAAATCTCTGTCCCATGTGCAGTTTAAACTTCACTGCACAGTTAAAATTTATATACATCCTAGTGGCTCAGGGGCAAAGTACATACCTTTATCATCAGCTTGACAGCCTCCACAGTTTCATCTGCTGAAACTTCGAATGGTTCAAAAGATCCCTCAAAGGCTATGAAAATCCTCATTTTCTCATAAAAAAAAACAAACCCCAAAACCCCACAACTTTTTTTCAAATATCTTGTTGGATAGCTGGAAAAATTCCAATTTGCAATTAAAGATAAAAATGATGAGCAGAGGCAGCCGTTACTGTCCAGCCTCCAAGGTGAGTTGAGAAATGTGAAGAGACAAGTCCCGCAGTATCACAGTATCTGGCAACAAAGCAGCTGCATTGGAGGAAATGCTTCTCCACTGAGGGCAGCAGTCAATAGCCACCTTGTTCCCATATTATGGAAACCCCCAAACTTGACAATAGTTGGGGCAAGTGTGAACAACAATCAAACGTGTAATACAAAAATTCCACAAGTAAATTACTCTTTTGTGATGTGACCATCATTTACTGACTCTGGAATCCATATTCACTCAATACAGCTGAATGAAGGACCCTTCAAAATAGTTACTTAATTGGTATGCACTGGCACACAGTGAAACCAAACAGGGTTGCTTTTATTGAATGCGATAATCCTCAAAGTTCTCTGTAAATAACTCTGAGCTGAAGCATTCTGGTTTCCGAAGCAACTTTGTGTACTTGTGCCCCAGTGGTTATTTCTAGTCCTGCCATGGAGTACAGAACAATACCCACTGGCACCAGGGAGATGAATGTGTAGGCAAGTGACTCTCCGGCATTCCCTTTCCATCTCTGCGTAATGGAATCTGCCCAGTCGCAACACAATATAGTTTGTACTTCTTTTAGCCCCCGCTTTTAGAACAATGTACCATTGTTATCCTCTTCAACTTCCTGAAACTTGTTGGTGGAAAATATTTCAAACCCCAGTCAATAAATGAGCAAAGATATTCAGCACCAAATAATCCATTTGTATAGATTATTCAAATCTATACAGTAAGCATTTTATGCAGAACTTCATTCTAAGACTCTCCTCTGAAATCCCCCAAATGTTATACCTGGTTTAATACCTGGTATATCATATGTCTGATAATTTTTTTCATATATGTAAATCTCATCTTCTTCCAGAAATTCTTCCTGACCTAGGATGGAATCCTCACCTTGTATTCCTTTTCATTCTTAAAGGCACTTAGCACAATGTGAGGCCCAGGATAGGTGCTCAGTAAATGTTAACCTGCTGATGATTCTGTTCCATTTCCCAACCTGAGTTTCAACTATAAGAAATCTGAGAAAATGGAAAACATAAAGACAAAGAATTTCATTGCAAAGCTAACTCTTTTTGCCTCACATTTTTCAGGTATTATAGCATAATGCTGTCTTCTTATGCTTTCAACATTTTAATAGAAAGTGTATTAATATGAGATGTAGTTGATGTTTTGATGTCTTGACCACCCCCTAATACCCCCCTCACACCCAGCACTGCTGTCTGTTGATTGCTGAAGGTTCTCCAAAGAATTGCCCTCAGTTGATGGGAGCTGCCTGCTGGGAAAGCTAGGCACTCCCCTCCTTAACTGACTCTTAAGGGGATACCAGAGGCCCATCTTCTCATCTGAAGGTGTGAAAACTTTGTGAAAGAGCTGTGTAGATCAGAGGCCATGGCTGGACTTTACCTGAGGTTATATCCTTCCTCAGCATTCCATCCTGCTTAACTCTCTCCCTCACAGTTTTTCTTGAAGAGCAGTTCCTTAGTAAGGGACATGCATCTCAATCCCTCTCAGGTTCTGCTTCCAGAGCAACCAGCCGAAGGCAGAGGATGTTAGAGAAGTTCATGTCCTTTAATAAATCATAATCAGGTGCTATGTAGTTTCCTGAATTGGCATGTTTATTTATACAAGTGTGTATTTGTGCACTGTGATAGCCTTGCCTTTCAGAGTAAATGCCTGGCTCAAAATTTTCACTAAGTACTTGTTCCCCATTCCTGCCCCCGGGGCAGCCATGTTTGTAATGTGACCTTATTTTTATCATGACAGTTGGATGGATCAGAATGGAAATATCAAAGTCCTTTCTCTTTGTGCTGAAGGAAAATATGCTTTGTGATTGGATGTGTATACATGTATCTTAGTAGCTGTGGGTGAACCATATTCTTCCTCCAGTGTAACTGAGTCAGCAGAGAAAACTACGAAGAAGGATTGAGTCACACCTATAAAGAATAACAAAGGACATGGAAAGAGCACTCCTGTGACTCCTGTTGCCCTTGAATTTTGTGAGACACCTTATCTAAATATAATACAGCCTCCCCATTTTATTTAAGCATGCTCTAGTTCGTGTCTGTCACTTAAAGTCAAAAGAGTTCTAACTCATTCATCTTTCAAGATTCAGCATCTTTTGCAACAAGATAAAGGTATTTATTACCACTGCAATTGTTGTTTTGTGTTGTTCTCAAGATACCAACCAAAAGGTTTCAACAAGAATAATAAAAATTAAAAAACAGTAAGTAAACTTATCCCTAATCTTAGGAGACATAGTTGTAAAACAAGAAAATGATGGTTTATGGTGTTACAAATAATGCAATAATTTAACTAGGTGGCTGTATTTGAAATTAAGACACAGAAATTAATGGCTTTTAAGAAGTGAATGACAATATAGAAGACATCATAATAGAAAATGCTCCATTTATAAAAGAAAAAAGACAATATTTTAGGAGCAAACTTAGCAAGAAACATGTAAGAGGTGTATAAAATAAATATAAACATATTTATATACACATAAACATAAATATAAACCAATAAACATAAAAGACTTGAACAGGTAGATAAGCATACCATCACCTTGGAAGGAAAGTTCCCAACCATTAAAGTCATCAATTTTTCCCCTCTGTCTGAATGGAGAGTGTTCCCATGAAACTTTTCATAAACCAAAATGGTGCAAAGCAAAGACGTTGGTCTGGTAACAGCCTTTTTCATAAAGGTGAAAATCCTCTTTGGATTTCTTTTCCACTAGTGGAAACAAGTACTAATGTAAGTGTTTTGTAAAAGTGAAGTGGTGTAACCAAACTTTTGGCAAGCAGGGGATACCTACCTCTACATAAATTAGTATTATCTCAATAAAAACACCAACAGAATTTTTCCAGCTTTATAAAGATAGAATTGATATATGCTCCTGTGTACGAGTCTAAGGTACACAACATGATGATTTAATATACATATATAGCAAAGTAATCACTGTAATAAGGTTTAGTTAATACATCTGTTACCTCACAGGGTTACCTTTTCTTGTTTGTTTGTTTTTTTGCTCTGAGAATAGTTAAGCAACTTTCAAGTATATAATACAGTATTGTTAACCCAAGGATTTTTCTAATTTAGGTAAGATAGTTCTAAAATTAATGTAGAAAATAAACAAGTATAGCTAGGAAAGCTCTGAAAAAGAAGAGTAATGAAAGACAATTACTTACCAGAGGTTAAAATGCATCATAAGGCTACAATAATTAAAACACCATGGTACTAGATCATGAAGAGTTAGAAAAATCAATGGAAAAATAGAACGTGTGAACGTGGACTCACATGAATTTAATATGTAATTAAAATGGCATTTTGTACCAGTGGGGATGGAGTGGGGGAAGTAAGATGAGGTTAAATTACCCTAGTAAACAAAAATGCGGCTATGCTTTTTACCATACTATATGAGATATCAAAAATAAATCAAATATTTAAGTGTAAAATATAGAACTATGAAAACATTAGACTTGTAATATTTTTATGATGTTTTAAATCACTTCCATGAGAAGATCTGTCTATGGCAAAAAAATACTGCAGCCGTCAAAGAAAACATTGATAAATTCAAATATATTTTCAAAGATCTAAATTGGCAAAAACAACTTGATATGAAGTCAAGGACAAATTAACTAAGAAAACTATTTAAAACTATTAGAGATAAAGGTTAATTTCCTTAATATATAAAGAGTGCCCACCAATTGATAAGGAAATGACCAAAAATTCAATAGTAAAATGAACAAATGGTGTAAACAGATAGTTCATAGAAAAGGAAATACAAGTGGCCTTCAAAAATTTGTTTAACTCAGAAGAAATGTAAATTATCACTATAATACAATGCTATTATCTAACAGAAAGTTGAAAAAGATCCAAAAATTGTATTACACACTTTTGCTGAGTCTGTCTCAGTCATATTTTGCAGAGGGGGTGTAATCTGGTACAATTCCATACAAAGGAAAATTTGGTAATGTGCATTAAAATGACAAATGCACACATTCTGCCTTGGCCGATGTAGCTCAGTGGGTTTGTCGTCCTGCAGACTGAAAGGTCACCAGTTTGACCTCAGGTCAGGGCATGTGCCTGGGCTGTGTGCCCAGTGCCCTGTTGGGGGTTGTGAGAGGCACCTGGTGGATGTCTCCCTAGCACATGGACATTTCTCTCCCTCTCTTTCTCCCTCTGTTCCCCTCTTTCTAAGAAATAAATAAAGTCTTTAAAAAATGCACATCTTTTTTGATTCACCAACTTCAAGAACTTTGTTTTCACAAATATATATGCCTATTTGTAAAATGATATAGGCACAACTTTATTCATTGTGGCGTTATCAGTAATAGCAAATGATTAGAAACACCTTGCATGTCAGTCAATAGGGGACTGATTAAACAAATTATTTTTCATTCATACAATGCTATAGAGCTATAAAAAAAGAATGTTTTTTTTCTGTATCAATATGGAAAAGTCTCCGAGGTATATCATTAGGTGAAAAAAGAAGTATAAAATAGAGTGTTTAGTACATTACCATTTGAGGAGAACAGAGAAATTACATCCATAGGTTTGATATATGATATAGTTTAAGTGTACCTTAAATTCCTTGGAAACATACTAAGGAGACTAGAAACATTGGTGCCTTTGGAGAAGAGCCCTGAGAAACCAGGGGTCAAGGATAAAAACAATATTTTTCACTGTATTATCTTTTAAAAAAATAGACTTTATTTTTTACAGAACTTTTAGGTTCATAGCAAACTAAACAGAAAGTACATAGAGTCTCATATTCATATACCCTCTACCACCACACATTACAGCCTCCACCACTGCCAAAATCCTAAACTGGGTGATATATTTGTTGTTGTTGTTTTTA